ACACACACACACACACACACACACACACACACACACGGCTTTACAGATGTTAGATGGCGATTTGAAAACAGCAAGACAAGAGCAGTTGAAGCTTGTGGATCCCAAGCAGCTTCTTTGCTCCTGTTTATATTCACTGTGAGCTACTTTTTCTTTTTTCTTTTACTGCATTATAAAGTCCTGCATCTCTATGGAAACAGCACAACCATGGTTACAAGTAGATGGAACTCACAACTATCTTCTGTGCAGTATAACTCATGTAAAATGATGACTGTACATACTGTAGATACTTAACTGCTTATATTTTACAGCGTCAACAAACCAGGTGTTGAGGTGTAGGAAGATGTTTCACCGTGCTGGATGTATCATGTAACTTTTTCTAATTTTGTTTTATTGGTCCAGATTTTAATTTTTTTTAAATTTTATTTTTCATCTTACTGTCTCTTGGCTTGTCTCTCAGTGTAGCCCTATGATAGACTGGTGACCTGTCCAGGTGTCCCCTGCCTTCACCCTGAGTCAGCTGGGATAGACTCCAGCCCCCTGCGACCATAGTGAGGATTAAGTGGTGTATAGATAATGGATGGATGGATGTCTCTTGGCTTTTTTTTCTCTGCTTCTTGCAAACACAGTCTGTAGTTCAGCCAAATACTCTCTAAATTCTTGTTACATGACTTTTGGTCACGGTTCAGTCAGTCACGGCTCCTCAGTTGTGCTGAGAAGTACACAGATTTGTTGTTGATATTTGGATTGATATTTTTTGCAGTTTTGAATTAAATGTGTAGAATACATGGGTTTTGATGAAATATCCAAATATGAAGCTTAGCATTAGGTTATAACCCATGATGCAACTGCATGTCACACAGAGGACATTCAAAGACCATCAGAGAGTTAAAAATCTGTTTATTTTTTTCAGTTTTTACAGTTTCTAAATATGTAATTTTCGCTTGTTTGCTTGTTAAAAAGAATATATGTGTTTCATCCCGCTGGCAGGTTTGGGGGCTCCGAGGATAAAACATTGTTTTCTATGACTTTTTGATTAAAAATACAAGTACATGGACAATTTCATGTAGATGTGTGCAACTGATTGTAAATGCTTCCTTGGTGATTAAACCTCTGTGTTGTTATAAATCAACAGAAACTACAGTCGTCCAGGATCAGAGTTTGTATAATTTGCACACAGGAACCTGCAGATGGTGCTGTATGCTCAGGGTTCTGCAGCTCAGACTCAGACGGGACAACAAGCGAATGTTCTCTATAAATGCTTTAAAATGACACTTTAGTAAACTTATCTTTCTGATGTTGTCGTTCAGTGGTTTGGGTGATGCTGATATTGTCTAGTAGGGTACACCTTGAATTGTGTTTGTAACAGTAGTTTTGTTTTTGAAATGCCCATCACATACCAATCATCAGTGGTGTAGTTTACTTAAGTGCAATACTTAAGAATACATTTTAGGTGCTTGTACTATTTCCATTTTATGCAGCTTTACATTTCTAATACAGTATATCACTTTTTACTGCACATTCCACATTACTGTGGATTAAATTACCCGACAGTGTATAAAATAGTTCAAATAAGCTCAGCCTTAAACATCTACAGCAATAACATGCAACACACAGCAGCAAGATAGATGCAGAAACATGATAGATGGGCGGCTGTGGCTCAGGTGGTAGAGCAGGTTGTCCTCCATGGTTGGCGGTTCGATCCCCTGCCCCTCCACAGTCGAAGTGGCCTTGGGCAAGACACTGAACCCGAAGTTGCTCCCAATGGCAGGCAGCGCCTTGCATGGCAGCGCTGCCACCATTGGTGTATGAATGTGTGTGTGAATGGGTGAATGAGAAACACATTGTGAAGCGCTTTGGATAAAAGGGCTTTATAAGGGCAGACCATTTACCATTTACCATATATACCAGCAAAACACTGATAGGGACCATTTTACTGCACAGTGACAACTTTAAGGTACTTTAAAGTACATTTTACAGATAATACCAACATAAAAAACATAACTTTTACTTGCAGTAGAGCATGTACACTGTTTTCTATGCAAAAGCAAATGTAATTATTATTGTATTTAAAAGCCGACTTGCTACTATTCAAATATTACATCTAGAAAACAGAGTTGAATCGATTATCAACAAGATCTGCTCCAGTTGTATTCAGTGCAGCTGATTGCATTATATTGTGTTGTCGCGTCCGCCTCCTGTATGCAATCTTTTCATCATTAACATATCTGTTCAAACATCAGTCTGGTGCAATAGTTAGTGCTACGATAACACAACAGCGCAGCCTGAGAAATCACAAAGAAAATAGTTTGTGATTACTTCTTTAGGGTATAGGAAAAAGCTGCTTCCTCCTCCTGAGCTGCAGACATTGAAACGGGTATTTGTGAGGAAGGGGAGGGCAGAGAGGCTCAGAGGAAGAGTGGCTGTTGTTCAGGGGGAAAAGGGGGTTTCAACTCGTTTGCTTGTAGGCGCATGTGGCACAAACACAGACAGCTGGAGCGTGAGTTTTGCTCCTCGTCTGGAGCTGGTGGCTCCCCGTAGGGTGGCACAACACTCTGCAGGATACTGCGGGGACCCATCTGCCGTGGCAAGTCCTGCTCACAGACGGCCACATCCGAGCGTCTACAGTGCCCCCGTCCACCCACCCTGCATAATAGCCCCTGATACCCACACTCACCCTGTCCAGGCCACGCATGTTGTCAACAATACCGTGTGACAGTGTTGATATAGTCCTCACCGGGTCCTCACCTTCTGGGTTGACAGCATAGTGTAACTGTCCAATAGAGATCTGCTCTTACTGGGGTTTTGATGACAGGTTGCTCTGATATCTTGTGTCATAATTTAATTATTGCTTGAATTTCACACAGTTATTAAAATTGATTAAAAGTGCATTAAACTAAATATTTAAAGGGCAACTTTAACCTCTTTAAACTCTTGTTTGATATGCATTTTTTAAAAAAAATGTCTCTCTATTTTATTTTTTTTTAAATAAAAAACAAATATATATTTAAAAAAAAATCTGTTCATTATGTATACACTGCTTAATCCTGACTAGGGTATATACATACATACATATATATGTAAAATATTTTAAAATTATATATATTTTTAAAAAACCAAAATAAATAACAATAGCAAAATACTAATACTACTACTACTACTACTACTAATAATAATAAACAAATATAAAAAAATTACCTACTGTGGTAATATGACCCAAAATGTGATGTCCACTTATGTAAATGCCAGATCATAAGAGGTGAAAAATACAATACTCTTAAATTAATGTTTGGTTAATAATGTAATTTTTTATTTTTTTTTATTTTTGACGTTTTCTTCTGACATAACCGGTCAAGTGACCATATTTTTCCACTTTTATTTTATTTATCTGTGTGTATTATATTTGGTCGAAGTGCTTTTGTTCGGACGGTTGGTTGTTGCCAGCTAGCATATGTGGACCCGTCTATCAACTGAGACTAGCTTGTTTGTGTCCGTCTAATTAGTGACCCCGCTTAAAAACACAGCTTAACATTGTGTGTTTCAAACTTCTGTTGTTTAATTTTTATATAGTTTTCACCGTGTCTGCTGATATGAGGGTAAAGTAAATGTTAAATAAACTTCAGTATGATGCGTGGCCTCCATTTAAATCTGTAGTTATACAGCAATTCATAAATATATCTCTCTTATATAATTTTGTTGACTTTCTTCTATATTATATTTTGTATATTATTTTATTTTACCTTCATTTTATACCCTAACCCTAATATTCTGTGTTGTCTTTTTGCTTCGTTTACCCCCTTGTTGGATAGTTATGCTGCTGTAACACCTGAATTTCCCTCTAAATGTAAAAATATTGGTGGTTTGTCTCAACAGTACCAGTAGTTTCATATGCCTGAAGAATTTCCTTTTCCTGGATCAAAACAAAGCTGAATCTAGCTTTTTATAAATTTTGCCACATATAACTGGAACTATCTGCCACTTAATATGTCTTATACTTGATTTTATACCACATTTTTAGAGGAAAGCCTCCCCTCTGATAACTGCTAACTTTTCAGTCCGAGGCGAAACGTTTCCAGCCAGCTGCAAGAGATAATAATGTCTCATTAATTCAGTAAGTGGATATCTGAAAGACTGATTAATGTGCAAGGTAGGAGACGGCCACGGTCACATTAGTGGAGTCTGCTTTCTGGGAGGAAACTGACAGCAAAGTGACCTTTGTCAGCTGCTGCGTTGACGAGGGAACTAAACAGATGTTCCTTTTCCTCCAATTTAGTCGGCTGGTGGGAATCCACTCTATCTCCGTATCTTGAATCTGCCGTTTATTTAAAAATAAGACGTTCAGACGGAGCCAGAAATGACTGCATCACAGCGTTTCTTTTATAACTGTGTTAGCCAATTTACATTTGTGAAGATAATTTGAGCGAGACATTATTTTTAAGTTGTCTCCAGAAAAGGTAATTCATTAACGCGTGCATGTTTTCCAAATTCTGCTAAGGCCAGCTTCCTGATTGAACATCAAGTGAATGTGAGAAACAAAAGTGAGAAACGTCTTTGGATTTCAGCCCTTTTGAAACTGCAGCCAAGCTCCAACAACAACCGCCGCATGAACATTTATTGTTCAACCGTTTAAAAAAAGAAAAATGTGCATGTCACTATTAATCAATCAATGTTACCAACGCTTAATTAAAACAGGTGATTAACTCATCAGCTCCTTTTGATAAATAACGACTACACTCACAACAGATTAAAAGTAGATTTTTTTTTCCAATTTTATTCAAAAATGTCAAAGAAATTAACAGAATAAACCATGGGCAACAATCTATTGGGAAAAAAAAAGGTTGGGCTTTAACAAAC